GATAAGAAAAACACACAGCACTTAAAACACAAGTCAAATTCAAATATTCAGCTTTTAAGCACGTACAGTTATTAAGTTATTAGAAATTTTATACTCTTTAAGTAACACACTTTCAAATTGATCTAAGCATTTCTTTGTTAATGTTATTGATTTCTTTGGATCTTTGCTCTTTTCATAGAAAAAGAATACATTTTTGAGGATATATCTTGTTAGTTGTTTCTAAGTGGTGAACATCAAGACAGATGGGAAGTTTAAGGTGGTAGTCAATAAAAAAAGAAAATGAACGCCAAATTTTGTACATTTTTACCATTTTCCCCTCATTTTACTTCAACAATAATCCTTTGAAAAGTAATCACAAAACAACATACACGTTACTATCATTTTTACTCTGATGATGGTTGAAATAAACAACGGAATATTACGGAAAAAACCCCAATACATCAATGATCTTTGTCTAGCAGAGATTAGTCAGAATAACTACTCGTTCTGATTATCGGATGTCGTAAGTCACAGAGATTTCAGCGTTAGATTACGCGGTTGCAACTATGATCCACTTGATACTTACTTAAAATATGAATCTTTTGTCCAAACTTTGACCGGATTAAAAGAAGGTCGGATTACAAGGACTTGTGTCGGTAGAAACTGTTGATAAGCGCATAAACAAATAACAAATGTATTGAAAACGTTTTGATCAAATTATGACAGGTCTAAAAAGAAAGCTTAACTGCAGGACTTGGAGAAGAATACGAATTTTTGAATTGTATTTATGGGTAAAATAAATTGGAGCATTTTTTTTCTTCTTTTCATCTTCTGAAATTTTTTTTCCACATAGATTAAAGACAGGTGAATCGGTGCACTCGAAAAAAATATCCCGTAACACCTTTTCCAAATAAAAAAAAAGAAAAGAAATTACAATCAATTCTTCCCCTGACTTTTATTTCGGGCATCAAAGGCTTCATGAAAAATGACTTGGGTGATTAAGGGTCATTTTATTTTGAGGGTCAAAATTCATATCTGCACCGAACGGTCTAACTATTCCTTAATTATAACATATAACCGAAGAAAATGTCTAGTAGAATTAATGCCTGTTAGAAGGATGAGTAATGGTGTCCAACTTAAAAAAAAAAAGCCGGTGAAAACTCTTTTGGCCTTCTATTGAAAGCATTAACCGATTGGTTAACATGTGGCTGATGCTGCTCATTCCTGAAAATCCTAAAAAAAATCATACTGTTTCGGTTTTTGCTTATTCTTTCAGACTTTTAGTGTCTTAGTGGCTTTATTGCCTTGAATGAGGTGAAAGGATTAAAAAATCTAGATTTTAGAATATATCTAAAATGCATTTCAAAGAAGAATTTCTGTTTTGGCACAAAGAATTATAAACACTTGACAAGACGAATAACGTTGTCCTAATCACAAAACAATGAAATCTGTTTTTTTTGTCTTTTATTTAAAGCATCAAACGATTGTTTAACAAGTGCTGGTGCTGTTCATTCCTGCAAACCATAAAAATCAACAGACATTTATATGGATCGAAAAGTGAAGAAACGAAGAAAACATTACTGTACATTTCTACAGCGATAACCTCAGGTTTTCTGTTGTTCGTTATGACAGGATCAAGTGCTATCGTCCAACCTTTCATGTTTTCAAGATGAAGGTGAATTAGCATCTTGGCTGAATATCATGGATTTCGGAACCAGGTATTTAGATTACGCAGTAAGAAGACGTTTCTGACTTACATATTATACACCTACGATGTCTTTTTATGCCACGTGGATTGATAGAAACGTAAGCAAATAATGAATGGAAGTAAAAACTTTGATCAAATTAAAAGCAGGTGAGGGATACAGGACATAAGTCGCTCAGGTAATTGTGTCTTTCTTACTGGCGCTAATGATCGCTGTTCGAGCCCGAGGTAAAAAGGCAAGATTTGAAATGCTGATTTTCAAGGCTGGCAAAACGCTCCCATTTTCTTACTCACACATAAGCCATATTAAATATCATCGGATATCATGGATAACAAAAATAGATGACACATTAAAAAAATCAACAACACTTTCTGGCCCACATATTATACATCTACCATGGATTGGTAAAGACACCAACAAATCGTAAGTAGTAAGGACATGGTTGATTAAATCTTCACAGCATCTTCCACTTTGATATATTTTTACCGGATTAAAGGAGGTCGAACTAATTGATTTACAAAAATTAAACAGTCATTTCTTCAGTGCTTGTAGCCAATGTTCGAATATGAAGTAAAAGGGCAGGATTTTAAATGCTGATTTTCAAGGCTGCCGAATTGTCCAATTTATTTGACCTGCGTTTGGTCTAGTGCTTATTTACTTATTAAGTCGCTCAGGTAATTGTGTCTTTCTTACTGGCGCTAATGATCGCTGTTAGAGTTCGAGGTAAAAAGACATGATTTGAAATGTTGATTTTCAAGGCTGGCAAAACGCTCCCATTTTCTTACACTTGACCTTGTGCCATATTAAATATCATCGAATAGAGGACACAGTAAAGAAAATCAGAACATACTTTTGACCCACATATTATACATCTACCATGAATTGGTAGAGACACCAACAAATAGTAAATGGTAATGAAAACATTTGATTAAATCTTCACAGCATCTTCCACGTTAATCAAATTTTTATCGGATTATAGGAGGTCGGACTAACTGATATTTTTCATAAACATTTTTTCACCTTGAAAATCAGCATTGAAATCCTGCATTTTTACCTTGTGTTTGAACATCGACGACGGGCACCGTATCCGGGAGTCAATAAACTCCGACAATCTATTTCTATTCCTTTTTTTTTCTGTGAACTTCTTATTTGTAGACTCTTCCTATATTTAACCACCCCCACCTTGTTATTTAGTAGCACCCCTACTAATATACGGTCGCCAACCGATACATTTCTCTTCGTACGAATTCGAGCAGGGACAATGTTAAAGTCGGAACACATGAAGCATGTTTTTGAAGTTAAAGAGGCTAGTGCCAAATATCCAAACGAGACAAGAATGATTTTGATGAAGCATCGCCGCCCCCATCTCCCTTCTGATATGACATAAAAGAATTTGGGCTAACGACACTCCTTTCATGTCAAGCTTTCAGAGATTCCCGATTCGTTCTTTTTCCATCTGATCCTCTCGAAAAATGAATAATTTAAGCAATAAAATGTTTTCTTTTTTTTTTCTTTTTCTTCATTGTGATATTTTATCCGTTAAGAATGGAATAGAGAGTGGGGATAACGATTAGGAATTGCAGTCGGTAAATAACAGTTCGTAAAGGTTTTAAGGCCCCTATCCAGTGGGGTCCCAAATGTAGAGCATTGCAAAAAAGACCCCTTCCCTGTTCTGACCAACATCAAAGAATAAATAACACTAAAATGAATCTTTTAAAACGTCAGTGGAAAGTAAAAAAGACGAACGTTTATGCTTGTTGTAAAGCTTTATTCAATACAGTTTTACTCCTGTCAATAAGTGAGGTTAGACCATTTCTTTTATAGTCGAGGAGTCTGAAGGGGATACAACTATGGTTGCCTTCTACCACAGTCAGTAACAAATAATCAATCAGGAATTTTAAGAAAACAATCGATCAGGAATTTTCAGAAAACGTCCTGTCGTTTTGTATTTATATATATATATATATATATATATATATATATATATATATATATATATATATATATATATATATATTTTGTTATCTTCCTGAATTTACATATATTTTGTCTCCAAATTAATTTTTTTTGTATTGCTGGTAATATTTTTTTAATATTTCTTTTTTACTATGAAAATGTACTGCGGCATTATTTTAATGTATTTTTATATTTTCATTTTTTGATCCCGTTTGGGGGTTCACCATTTGATCATATCTGGGACCCTAACAGGTGCTACCACCTTGGATCAGGGTGGACCTGGGAACAACAGCAATGAAATCTTGCTGCTGGATGTAGTTTATCGTTCTAGACTGGCTACTAATCAAGGCTCGAGAGACAAGTCTACTCCAATATTTAACTTATAGACAATTTGATAAAATAAAAATGATATTTTTGGATATCTTTTTTTCCTGTGGTAAAGGAAGATTTTTCGTAGAAAGTTATTGAGAATGTTACATCAATAGAGAATTTTTTTAAATATATGAGTGGTACTAATGAACACAATCTTTTTTATCTCAGATAGTAAGAGTTTCTTAATCATTGTTTTATTCATTCCTAGTGCTCCTATGACTACTGGAACAGTGTTTGTATTTAAATGCTACACTCTTGTGATTTCTGTTTCCTCAGATTCTGAAAGTTTGTCAAATTCTTTTACTGAAATACGTCCATTACTATTATTATTATTATTATTATTATTGTTGTTGTTGTTGTTGTTGTTGTTGTTATTATTATTGAGAAAGTGTGGGAGGGGAGAGAAAGAGAGCAGCACAGCAACAAAATGACGCTAGGGTACAAATACACAAAGCCCAATATACTAATCATGGTAATCAGTTTAATAAGGTTATAACAGACACATTAATCTTCCCTCAGGTCATTAGTGCGAAAGTGAATAGGCAACAGAATAGGCTATAATGTGAACCCAGACCACCGACACTATTTTGTAAGCCGAGAACTGTTATGCAACCCATTCAAATATCCATTCTTATATATATATATATATATATATATATATATATATTATATTTGAATAAAAAGACAGACCACGTTAAGATTCCATTCCGTGGTCTGTCTATTTATTCAAACATATCTGCTCTGAATTTTACATTGAGCTCTCTGGATATCATCCTCCTCAGGTCTACCCATACGGATTACCTAAATTTGCATAAACTAACTATATATATATATATATATATACCTTTTATAAAATTGTTAAAAATATAGAAATTTGAAGAACGCTCAGAAGTTTATTGTCAAAAGTAAGTCGTGGGTTTTGGTTTGTGTGACATGTGTGTGTATGTATGTGCGCGCGTGCGTGCATATTTTTGTCTGTTGGATATT